GCGGGGCCGGTCTCGGGACTCGCCCCGAGGGAGCAGCGGGGCCCCGGCACGGCGGAGCCGGGGCACTGCTCAGGGCTGCGGGCGCCCAGCCGGGGTGAGGGCCCTCCGAGCTGGGGGCTGAGCCGCCTCCCTGTGCCCCCCGTCCCCCTCGGGGCTCGGGCCCTGCTGCCCCGTGTGCCCTCCCGCTGGCTCTGCGGCCCCGGGTCCGGCCCGCAGCGCTCCCTGCCCTTCGGGAGCTCCCCCGCGGCCTTCGGTGAGGTGGCTGTGGGGAAGGAGCTCTGGGGTACAGGCATGGGGTATACCACAGGCGGGGGAACCGGCAGGCCCAGAACGCCGCCTCACTGCGGGGGCTTTGGGACCCGCAGTGTCCTCAGGAGCTGCTCTCATCCTGTGGAGCGGTCTCTGCGATTCCTGCCCGTTTCACAGGGGTGTGCTGGGTAGCAAGGAACATGGCTGAAAACTATACTGTTCCTGTGAAGCCTTTGAGTCCCCTGGGACGGCAACCCTGGGCTGAGCCCAGGCAGCAGTAACAAAAGCAGAATCAGTAATGTAATCAGCCATTTTGTCTAAGTTCAACAAATAGCATGTGGGAGACGGCACTGTGAGTGGCTCCTTGTCTCTCTGCAAAGAGCACGGTTCTCCAGGGAGAGACAGGGGCACAAGGCTCCCCTCCTGGCCCCGGGGCAGAGGGTGGCTCCGGTCGGTCGCCCACCCTTGCGCTTCCCTGGTTGCGTGGACGTGTGTGTCTGTGTTAGGTGAGATGCCAGGTGAGAGCTTGCTGCTGCTGCTTTTCTCTTGAAGAGTTTTCCAGTTTGTGGATGCAGCTCCATTTCTGGTATATTTCCAGGAATAACCGTGAAAATCTTCCGCTCCCTCTTATTCGCCTACTTCGCAAGATGGCCACGCTGAGTGCAAAGCCGGGACAGCGGTTCACCATGCCGGACTGGCACACCAACTCCCATCTCATCTCAGCTGATGCGGAACGCCAGCGTTCTGCTGCCCACCAAGTCCAGCAGGAAGCCCGAGCTCTCCGCAATGAAACCAACAACCAGGTGGGCCTTCTGACAGGGTGGCTGCTCCCAGGTTTGTCAGAATAGCAGGCTGAGGAGTGTGGGAAGGTGTCCGGATCTGCATGTATGGACAAGGGAATAGAAGGCTTTACCCCTACAGAGCCTGCTAAAAATGTACGTTTACTTCCTGTAAACCCACTTGCAATGATGCATGGTTACTGTCATGAAATCCCTGGGTATGATTCTCGTGTCCGTTGCAACTTGTGGCGTTTTCTGTGCTCTCCACTTGTGTAAGATGACAATTGGGCCAAATGGCAGCACGTTACGCTCCTTTGAGGGGTCAGTCAATCCTGAAAACAGGGAAAGGCTTCAGCAAGATTCATAAGTGCAATTTAAAAAAGAGTAATGGCGTTTCTCCTCTAATTTCAGGCGAAATGGGATGAGCATGACAACCAAACCCGCCTGGCTGAACGTATCAGCAGCGTGAACAGATGGAAAGAGACCCTGGACAAATGCCTCGCAGACATAGATGTGGAAATCGATGCCTTAGCCAAAGTATGTTGGGAAGACAGATGGCTGGAAATCAACTTACACTCTCCACATGGGATGTTAAATAATTAAGGCTTGTCTTCTGCAATGGGCAAGCCCAGATGGAGTTTAAGGGGGGTTTGTCGGAGGTATACTGAGATCCATGCCTGATGAAATGACCATGCCTGATGAAATGATTTCCTGGAAAGCAAGTCACTGTGTTCTTGGCTAAGCCAAGTCGTGTTACGGAGCTGTGTGTTGCATGCTCATGTTTGGGGTTTTGGGTGGTTTTTTTTATTGGTTTGGTTTTAGGTTGTCTGGTGTTTTTTTTTAAAGCTCTGAAGGATAATTAGAAATATGTTAACACCATCATTCAAAAATGTTTGAATTTTAGAGAACAGCAGTGGGACATCTCTCTGATTCTTCTATTTCTAAACCCAGAGGCTGCTGCTCCTGGAGTCATTAGCCCCTCAGCAAGGTGTGACTCCCCATGCAAATAGCAGATGTAGAGGACAAATGTGTTTGGCTCTCTTAATTTTCATTCCAGACTTGCTAAAAGGTTTCAGAACTGCAAAGACAGGCAGTGTGAGGCCCTCTTAACAAGTGTCTGGGTGGATTTCCTTTCCTTTCTTCCTCCCATCCCTGAAGGAGACCCCCCCACACCCATCTGGCTTATTCTTCCAGGTGAAGGAAGCAGCAGAATGTGCCCTCCAGGCAAAGAATTTGCCTTTGGATGTTTCCATTGAGTGCCTGACCCTCCGGGAGAGCCGCCGTGCCATCGATCTGGTGAGGGACCCTGTGGGGGAGGAGCTGCACAAGGAGGTGAAGGTGATAGACAAAGCCAAGAGAGAACTGCAGCAGAGAGTGAACGAAGCCTTCGAACAGCTCTGGTGAGGCAAATGACGCAGCTTTTGACCAGACTCTGCCCTCCTTGCTGGGCCACAGCAGTTTAACGTGCCTCTAATGCCACACTGAGATGGGCAAGCAGGGCAGGCGTGGTTACCCCGGGGCAGTGAGCCGCTCAGAGGAGCCTCTGGTGATTATTGTCAAGGTCTATGGAGTTTGGGGGTTTGTAGGGGAGAGCACGTCAAGGGAGACTTCATAAGCATCCTTGGAAGATTTTGGCTTGCACAGATGTCTTGTGCCACCTGCCTTGGTTCATGCCCAGTGACCTGGAGGCGTTAAAGCTCCCAGGCCCTAATCCCTCGTGGGTCACTGCGCCGCTGCAGGAGGGCGGGCAGCTCAGTGCCCCAGTGCCCTGCCAGCGCAGAGCTCGTGGGAGCCAGGCAGGCAGCAAAGCAGGTGTGCTGGAAGATCAAGTTGGGCCAAGTTCACTGCCATCAGGGAGGGCAGGAGCTCCTCACCCATTTTAAAAAGATGACAAGAGGTGGTGATGAAAGCTTTGGAAACAGCTGCCTCTCCCCTCTGCGTGCTCCCTGCTTACTCCAGCCCTGCTTTCTGCAGCCTCTTACAGGAAGCTCGCCAGCAGCTGAGTTTTGATCACCGGTGCAAGATGGAAGCGTTGGAAATAGATCGTGTGTGCTTATCCCTCAACGTGAACTCTCCCAACATCTCCTTCAAGGTCAACCCAGCCCGCGTCCCAGATGGGTAAGGAAAGAGCCTGCCCTTGTGTTTCCAAATCCGTGCTGGTGCTTGAAAGAGTGCTGGGCTGCTTTTTCCTTCCATGCTATATCCTGGCTTGATGGTGCCATTTTGGAAAGAGCTCAGAACAGGAGTTGGCTGCTAGGATTTTTTGTGGCTCTTGAATTGTGAAGCCACAGACCTTTGGGAGTTACCTAAATTGTCACCACAAAAGCAGACACTAGCTGCCCTGCCTCCCCGTGCCTGGCTGTAGGTGACTCTCAGTAAGTAGTGTGGTATCAGCCTTTGGCACAGCTTATGGGGGAGCTGCTGCAGGTTTTCACTTGCTTGGCATTTCATAGCCTGGTTTGGATGTGTCCCCAGTTTGAGCAGATGTTGGGCTTGGTGCAGGAGCCATGGGGTAGCAATCTCCAGCTGCTGCAGCGAGGAGGTCAGACAGGATGTGACCTCCAGAATTCCTGGATCATTTTGTACTGCACAAAGCCCTCTTGGCCTGCAGCAGGTGGTTCCTTTTGAACTGTCTTGCAAACACTCAGCTTACTTTCATAACTGCTGATTTGTTCACAGATCAACTGCACCTGATGAGTGGGAACAGAATAGCCAATGTAACAAGGAGCATGCTGAGGCAGAAATGAAAGCCTCGACTGCGCTCCGAGAGGCAACACTGCTTGCCATTGCACAGGTAAATCAGTCCCTCAGCTGTGAAGCAGTGGTGCAGAAGTTTTGGATCGAGAGTGGGAGAATGGGCCGGCGTGTGCTGCAGCCAGGGGAGGGGAGTCTTCGAAAAGACAGCATTGGCCCATGGGCCTCTGTGAGAGCAGCTGCCCTCCGGCTTTGAAAGAGGCGTTTGGTTATGCTGCGGAGCTTGCAGCGGTCTCAGCAACCCGGAAGACACCTACCTGTCCATCGTTCCCCACCTTCTGGCTTCAGGGGGCGCATGACCTGCACATGCATGGCAGCAGCCAGAACCCAGCTGGGTTTGCTCATAGGCTTGTCCCAACCTCACAGGCAAGAGCTGGGAGGGAGGCACCTTCCGGATGTGTGTGACTGGAGTCTGTTCTCTCCTCAGACAAACAACGAGCTGGAGGCTCAGCGCGTAGCTACAGAGTTTGCCTTGCGCAAGAGGATTAGAGACCTGGAAAGAGCCTATGATGAGCTGAAATGGCAGGAGCAGAATGTAAATGTTGCTTCCTTGGTTATCAAACACAACCTTGGGTGGGAATTGAATCCAAAAGGCTATTTTTTATGTGGAAAGCTTCTTGGCCTGAGCATGGTTTCCACATGAGAGCTGTTAAGTGGCACATGTATGATTCCTGCAACATCCTACCCCCTTCTGCCATCACAGTTGCTGCTCTGGCATTTCCCAGCAGCAGTGCCAGGTTTGGGCCTTTTTTGTTGTTGTTTTTCACCCCTGGGCTCAACCGCTGTGGCAATAAATCACCGGCAGCACCATGCCTGGTCCGTGTGAAAAGCCCAATCTATGAACAGAGGGGTTCAGTACTCAGAAGCCCACCAGCACTTGTTTAAAATCCATTCCCAGCACAGTAAAATCCCAGGATGCGTGGGGTCTGTTTTCCAGTCTGTATCCCCAGCAGTCCTTCATGATATGTGTCTTTTATCTGTAGACCCTGGAGGAAATTCCTGAGATGGAGGAGGACATCCGATGCTTGGAGGAAGATCTTCGAGGGAAAATGCAAGATCTGAAAGTGGCACACACCCGCCTGGAGACCCGCACCTATCGGCCCAATATGGAGCTCTGTCGGGATCAGGTACGAGCCTCGCCTGGCACGCTCCCTCACTGACGGGGATGGGGGCTCGCATGGGTCTGCAAAATCTGGGCGCGCTTTGGAGAAAACTACAGAGGGGCTGAGCAGTGGATCATACCGTCACCGAGCACAGCGAGGAAATAAACGTCATAGCTGGGCTGGAAGGGGAAAGAGAGAAGCGTGGCCTGTGTAAAACAACACTTCAGCCGCGTTAACTGCTGTGCCCCTCTCCCTCCCCACCTCGCAGGTCCAGTACGGGCTGACAGATGAGGTCCACCAGCTGGAGGGAACGATCCGTGCGCTCAAACAGAAGCTGGCAGAGGCACAGTGAGTCTCCTGCTCTCTGGGGCAGAGCGGTGGCCCAGCGTTGCCCACAGGAGGGACGTGGCTATGTGCAGCCCTGGACTTGGCACACTTCCAGAAGCTGCATTTTGGAGCTCGTGTCTGCTCAGATCAGGAGTGGAAATAATCTCTGGGCTTGGTGGGGAGCTGGACTGGGCAGCAGGGTCCAGGCGAGGCACGAGAGGTCTATGTGGTGGGAGGGTGAATGGGTTTCCCACGGTCCCTGCTTGACTCTGACTTCAACCAGGCACAGAGAGTTCTAAAAGGGAAAGGAAGAAAAAAAGGGTAAAATATAAAGGAAGAAGCAGAAGTGCTGCTCTGGGCTGGCATGGGCTCCCAGGGTGCACATCTCCACGCTGCGCTCCAGGAGCAGCGTGTGGGCTCGCTATTCACAGACCCAAACAATGCTGCTGCTCCGCGCCGAGAAATACCCGATGCATTCGTTCTTCGTACAAAGGCAAACGCTGCACAGATATTTCTGCTGCCAGAAAGTGGGAAGTTGGGTGTTTCCTGTCCAACTTGGGAAGTGAATGCAGTGCTTGAACCCAACTCCGCTCACCTCTGCTTGTTCCCAGGGATGCCTTGGACGCTCTTTACAGACAGCTTCACCGCATTCAGACAGATATCGGCTACAAAGCCAATTCCCTGCTGCTGGACAACAAGTGCTTGGACAGCCGGAGAAAGCTCGTGGTCCCCGCCGAGAAATTCATGCCAGAGCTCGACACTTTCAACCGGACCACGAACCGCGCGCTCTCCCCGCCGAAGAACGGGCATCTGGAGTTGGCTCAGTGCGCCGGGGAGAAAGCTACCGGTGACTCAGTTCCGTAGCGAGGAAAGCGGACATCTGTGTCGCGTTAGGATAATGTAATTCTCCTCCCTCCTCCTAGTTTGTTATATAACTGTCTGTCCCCTTATATGATGTTTATAGCCTCTTGCACTCAGAGGAGCGTTATAAACAATAAAGAGTCTGTCCCCAAGAGCAGTTGTCATCCTGACAGTGTTGGAAGCGTTTCGCGGTGATTGAATCCATCTGGGCTCTTTTCGTGTGTTTCGGGTTTTTTTTTTAAAGTCCTTTAAAGTGCAAGGCCAAGCGCGCTGGAAAAGGGGCTGTGTAATGGTGGCAGCCGGCCAGATCTCCTCTGCGGGTGTACCGCCTCAAATCCGCTCGCTTTAATGATTAAAGTCAAGTTTGGGTTGGGATTTCCCCTCGCCCGCTCGCCCTGCGGAGCTAACGCCAGCTAGGGAAGCAAAAAGCTGGAGTCCGCTCTGGCTCTTGTGGCCGCCGGCTTGTTAAAAATCCAATTGCAGCGCTTGCCCTTCTGCCGTCGGTTGATGGTTTCTCTTCCAGGCGCCATCCCGCCATCCGTGGGAGACGGCATCCTCGCGAGCACGCCACGGGGACCGGACCTCGGCTTGCTTTTCGTTCCCCGGGGAAGAGAAACGGTGTTGGGTAAGCGGGCCCGGTGGAAAACAGCTTGGATTTGACTCCTGGTTCACGGACTACGTTTTAATGAGAAATTGGGGGGGAAAAAAAAAAAATAACCAAAACCCAACGCTTTCCTTTCCTGTAAATGGGGAAATGAGCAAACGCC